GAAAACGATCTGAAAGGTCGAGAAGTTCATCGGCATGTACATTTGGTGGGTGCCAATCGGGCAAAAGCTGCGCAGGTGTACCCAGTGGCATTGGTGGAAGCGGTGCTTCGAGGGCTGGAGAAGATGAATGTCATCAGTGCGGTGGAGGAGCAAGTGTCAGGACCATGGCCTGACGACATGGTGTCTTGGGAGGCCGAGATGGAGGAGTACAAGGACGATGCGTCAGGTGCAACATTGGATCCAAAGCTCGTGCAGGAGGCAAGGGCTGAAGAGTTGAGGTGGATTCATCAGGAGTCCGTCTACGTGAGAGTTCCTATGGAGGAATGTGATGGAGAAGTGCTGAAGCTCAAGTGGGTGGACATCAACAAGGGCGACAGCAACAAACCCAAGGTGAGATCACGCCTCGTGGCAAAAGAGGTGAAGCGTGCAAAGAGGATTGAGGATCAACTTGGAGGAGCGGAAGTCTTTTCTGCGACACCGCCCATTGAGAGTGTGTATGCCTTGATGAGCATGTTCATGACGAACGTGGAGGGCAAGGACAACAACAAGATGATGGCCAGTTGGGACATCAGCCGTGCGCACTTCATGGGCAAGGCAGAGAGGAACCTATTTGTTGAACTACCTCCAGAAGATCAACATCGACCTGATGATCCTGGTGCTATGGTGGGAAAACTTCTCAAGAGCATGTACGGGACGCAGGATGCTTCAAAGATTTTCCAGAAGGACTACACTTCGTGGATGGGTTCGCAGGGCGCTACATTCAGCAGATTGTGCCCGGCAATTTTCCGATTTCCGGAGAAAAGCTTGGTGGGATTGGTTCATGGTGATGACTTTTTGGTCGTCGGGAACTATGAGGACCTGTGCTGGTTGGACAAGGTCTTGAACACCAAGTACACCGCAAGATGGGAGTCTCTGTTGGGCAAGGATGGGTCAGAGGTGCAGGAGATGTTCTTCTTGAATCGCCTGGTCAAAAATCACATTGCCATACCGTTGTGTGAGTGAAGCAACACAGCACTATGCGGAAACCAGGGGTCCCCCCAGCCAGGATCCCAGATGGAATGGACAGTGGGGGCAAGCGTCTCGAGATTGAGGCCGATGCTCGACATGCTGAGATCTTGATCAGGGATTTCAACTTTGGCGTCAACACCAAGGGGTGCGACGTGCCGGAGGACAAGATCACGCCTGGAGAGCTGGCGGTGACGGAACAGCAGCCTGTGCTGGTCAATGGTGATGAGATTGGCCTACCTTTCAACAGATCGTCCTGATCTATGCCATGCTGTGAGAACTTTGGCGAGAGCTATGAAAAGTCCTAAACTCAACGACATGCTGCGCTTGAAGAAGGCTGTGAGGTATTTGCTCAAGTACCCCTACATGAAGCGTGTCTTTGCGGAGCAGACGCTAAAGGAGCTCAAGGTGACGGCATGGAGCGATTCGGATTGGGCAGGAGATCTTCGAACGAGAAGGTCGACAAGTGGATCAGTGGTGAAGATTGGAGGACATTCCGTCCTAGTCAAAGGTGCAAGCCAGAAGATCGTGGCCTTGTCGAGCGCTGAGAGCGAGTACTACGGGATTTGCAGGACAGCGACTTTGGCCGAGTTCGTCAAGGGCATCTTGGAGTTTTGGTATGACAAGGTGGGGATGACGAAGGTCAAGGTTGACAGCTCGTCAGCAAAGGCCATGACGGAGAGGAAAGGTGTTGGACAGAGCCGACACATTCAGGCGAAATACTTGTGGCTTCAGGAGAAAGTCTCTGAGAAAGAATTGGAGATTGACAAGGTGAAAGGGGTCCTCAACGACTCGGACCTCGTGACCAAAGTGCAGCCTCAAGCTGTGATCAGTTCACATGTGCAGAGGTTGAATTTTCAAGTTGCTGGGAGGGCAGGTCACAAACAATTGACTTGATACCCTGAATCCCAGACTCCGCTACTTTTGCTGCTCAGACCACGAAACCGTGGCATCGCAGCACAGGGGGTGCAAACATGTTGCATCTCATGTAAGGTGGTTTCACATCAATACTTGTGAGCCATCTGGGGCCAAAAGGGTGTGCCTGACATAGGCAGGTTTCGCATCCGGCCAAAAAGTCCCGGTCGCAGCATGTCAAACATTTGAAGCCCATATTTTCAAAATACTCGGTATACGCGGGGTTTTATGTACTTTGTGCAGCCCACATAGAATGCCGCCAAAAACAAATACAAATGTCATCATTCTGTTTCAAAATCTCTGTTCTTTTATGAAACACATGGTTTGAAGGATTGTACAAATTTACTATTTCATAATTTCATTTGAATAATTGTATATAAATCCAATCTCTGAGAGGTTTCCTTTCACTCGCTGCCCGCTATGCCGCCATCCCAGCGACTGACGCCACACCACTTATATACAAAGAATTCAACTTGTTGCACACACTCACACACGCATACAATCACACGCACGTTGTTTTTATGAAACGACAATTCACCACAAGGAAGGAGAGCTTGCTCATTGTTCTCTCGATTTTTCATTTGTATATTACACACGCATAAAAATAAAAATATATAGTCGAGAACTGAAACTTAGAATGGCGTTTTGGAAAGTTAACCAGACGGTTTTACACTTAGAATGCTGCCAAACATGTTACACATAGAATGCGTCCAAGGGTTTTGGGGGCATGTGTTTTATGATTTTTGCTGATTTCCACATGAATTATGCTTTCCTTGATGATTTTTGTCTCTCCCGGCTGCATTTGTAACACTTAGAATGCCACACCAATCCTTTCCTCTTTCCTTTCCTCTTGCCTTTCCTTTTTCCTTTCCTTTTTCCTTTCCTTTTTCCTTTCCTTTTTCCTGTCCTTTGTCCTTACCTTTGTCCTTTCCTTTGTCCTTTCCTTTTTCCTTTCCTTTTTCCTTTCCTTTTTCCTTTCCCTTTTCCTTTTCTTTTTCCTTTCCTTTTTCCTTT